CGGTGCGTTCTACATAGTCTCCCTGAACACAAGACCAAGTTGCGACAACGAGGTCAACCCACTTCAATGAACTTTATGTTTGCGCCTAGTAGGCATAAATTATCTGAAAGGTTTAGTGCAGAAGAAATTCTTCTTTGGGATTAATTATTGTCTTTCCATCAATAGGAATATGGTATTCCATTTAATATTTTAAATGCATTTATTACCACACACTTTACACGTAGATGCGGTACAAGATCAGAGTTAATGAGTTAAAGGTAAGAAGGCGGATGCAAAGTCATAAATTAGTTAGGTAACTTATGGAATACCTCATTAAGATAGCAAACTTAGATTATTAGAAAATGGTTGAGCTGCACGTAGCACCCATCTTTGTCTTAGGTTCGATTAATTTTTTCAAAGGTGTATTTCCTCTTTTGACGATGCCCTTCATATTATATGAAATTGTTCAGCATTTATAAATAATATATATCCGCATCCCTCCTGTTATGTCTGTATAATGTTAATTTTTATTTTATCTGAGTTAATTATCCTGCCGCCCACTTGTAGTAACAATGAAGCAAATGTTCCAATTAATCTTTTTAGTTTCTTTTTTTTAATTGGAATATTTATATTCTCCAACCAGGTATATTTACGTCCGGATGGCTTGATAGGTCCCGTTGTTAAGGGCTATCTTCTTCTTCAACCAGATATTTCTTTGCGCAATCAGGCTCCGACTTTGTTGTTTCTCCACGGAAACGCTGGAAATATTGGTCATCGATTGACTTTTTGTCGAATACTCTTTGAAACTGTCAAGTGCAACATGTTAATAATTGATTATCGTGGCTATGGTAAAAGTACAGGTGAGCCAAGTGAAGCAGGTCTATACAGAGACGCTCGTGCCGGGCTCAACTTTCTTACCTCACGCAATGATCTCGATCCTTACAAGATATTTGCTTTTGGCCGATCTCTCGGTGGCGCCGTGGCTATTCATCTAGCTACAGACGTCGCAACCCGTGGTCGCCTCAAAGGTTTAATTGTCGAAAACACTTTTACTTCGCTTCCCGAGATCGCACAATGTCTGCTTGGTGGGCTTCTTGATCCTTGCACGCCATATCTCCTGCCACGATGGACTTTCATCAATCAGTTTGCTTCACTCGCCAAGGTTAAGCATGTCGCGGCTAGTGAATCAGCTCTCCATTGCCGTGTGCTCCTACTTTCTGGTGCTGTAGACAACTTTGTTCCCCCACAGATGATGCGTCGGCTTGCTGAAGCATTTTCAAAAGTCGTCGACGTAAGCATAGTGTCTGATGAACCATCTGTCTCACTTGCTCCTTCCGCTACAAATAGTACAGGTGATACTTCTGAACAGATTAAAGCGGCCAGTGGTTCAAATGAAATGGGTGATCCGCATGTGCCAATCGGGAATTCGAGTAAGTTTATCGACGTTTCTATTATTTTGTCACATTATTCAATCTCACTTCACTTAGTCCATCTTCAGCCGGATCTGGATCAAACTTGCATTCGTCAACTGCAGCTCAAGGCCCCTCTTCAACTTCTGGCTCTTCGAATTTTAATCCATCTCCATCTGCATCATTTTCAATCGGTGTTTGTCCAAACACTTTCGCTAAATCTGGAGTTCAAGGCCTGATTAGTTTCCCGACAGGAAGTCACAACGACACTTGGGCTTGTCCTGGTTGGTGCGAAGTTGTAGCTCGTTTCATTACAATAACTCTCCTCGACGCTAACGTTCCACCTGGATTCAGTCAGTCATTTAGCTGCGGGGAGGTCGGGGAGCCGTCTGGGGTTACTGGAATTAACCAACAGATACTTGATCGTCATTCCCCTTTGACTAGAGATAATGAGTTGCCGGTTTAAATTCTTTTCAATCCTCAGCTTTTTGTCTTTCAAATTTATCGACCAGTCAGTTGTGTATACCTTATGAATACTCAACGTGGATCTGTGTCACTTTTTACCTTTTCTTATTTTAAGCTTATTTTCGTTTCCGAATGTGTTGCCT